ATAGGTGCCTGCCATTCAGAAATGTGGCACAAAATCATCCTTACAGTGTCACATATTTCCCTGTTTTTTGAATTGCTGAAAAAAAATCTGAAAAATATTGTATCAAAAATATGTAAATAAGAAGCTGCAGGATGTTTCTATCATTACATTTCTAAATCAGCTTTGTCCCCCGCGCCTACATGTGGAAAAGCTCAGTAAGGACGAGGGTGTGATTTCCACAACACGCAAACATGGCTTCCTCCAGCGTCTGCAGCTTTGGAGAAGAGCACCAAATGGCATTTTTCATATCCTGTGGGCACATCTGCTCTTTACCGCAGAAACCACTGAATGTGTTTTCTATCTGTCACGTATGCAAGACAAAATGAGATGAAGGAACTGACATATTTACATATTGAAACCTGTTTAAGTTTTCATCCATCACAGAGAACAAATTATCTATAAAAAAACCTTTCTAATTCTTTTACAAACATGACTGAATACTCTGTCTTCTGCTGTTTAATAACCATCATTGAGCACTATCATTTTCTTTTCATATCATTCTTTTTAAATTCATTTTTTCATTTTATTTGATTCAATTAAATTCAGATATCTGGGCTGCTGGAATATTCAAATTTCCCCCATAGGGATCAATCACCTTCCTACCTACCTACCAATCTACAGTACATGTCCATCTGCCTATACCAACCCTACTTTTTTCTTCATAACTAACTATGGGGGTTATTGACATGATATTAACTGAACATTTAAAATCCATAGATTTTTGATTTCAGAGTCAATATCAGACATATTTTCCGTTTATCTGTAGTCTTACAAAACGTAGCTGTCAGCCTTTTCAGTCTTGTAGACACAAGGATTTTGAATTTTGCTGCTGTCTGCTGATTTTAATGATGTCCCTGAATTTTTTCACTGATACCTGAGACACCTGGTGTAATGTTTCTTTTCTTCTGCATTTTGATGTTTCCAATAATTCCCTTTCTTACCTCTCACCCTGTTCTGTGTGATTTTTTGGGGAAGTTATTTTTGTCGTCAGGTGTTCAGCCGTCAGTGGAAGAGACAGGAGAGATAAGAGAGACAAATCATTTGGAGTCTGTCTCCCATCGTCCTTTGGATCATCAGAGAGGTTTTATTTTAAGCTTCTCTATTGTGAAATGCTCTGATTCCAAGGACAGGTGCTGCATCATTCATGAAAGGGAAAGAATGTTTCTTTATGGACTCCTGAGTAGTTTTCTCTTTTCTCTGTGATATTTTTTGTACATTCAGTTAAATTGGTTTGCACGTATTTCTCTCTGTGAATGGTGAGTGTGAAGTTGCTTCAGTGAACGTGTGTAAGTCAATTGGGGTTAAAAGGTGTGTGATGAGGTGTGTGAAGTCAGTCAGAGTTTACATATGAAGTGTGGACAGATTCTCACCTGTGGGGATTAGTTTGATGGTTACACAGGGATGACGAGAACACAGCAGTGACACCCGTCCCCTTCATTCTGTCCTTACCCTCAATGAGTAAAGCTTCTGAAACAGCATTGAGAATGAGCATCATTACTGATTTATATTATTTCAATCAGCAACAACTACTGCATGTGCGCAATCAGACTTTATTTTTAAGGCAGACAACAGACAAGCGGATATAAATTGTCCGATATGAGTCTTTCACAGACATATCAGCATTTATGTTCGCCAGTATGAAAACGTTTATTCTATGGATTAAATAATGCAGAAAAATATGTTTATGTATGTAAAACTTAAATATAAATAGAACTCTAACTAAAATAACTATTACAAATATTTAGATTTTCACAGTTCTAGCTCTATTTATTTGGTTGTATTTGTGTTTTCTTTTTAGTTATTTAAAATAAAGTTTATGGTTGAACTGTAAAATATCAAGCCTCTACTACATTTTGTTTGTCATAAGGGTTTGAATAGGACATCTTAAGAATCATTTCTGATTTTTATATATATATACAATTACACAGTATATTGGCTGATATATCAGTTTCAGCATCAGCCCATGAATCCATATCTTGTCGGGCTCTAAAGCTGATTTTGATATTTCCTTTAATCAGTGTTGATATGGGTTCATGTCTCATGTCTTCCTGATTCCTCTCTGTATTACCTGTATCCTTGTGTGTGTGTGTTTCAGGGCGTCGGGCGCGATGGCTAATGCCTCCCCAGACCTGGACAACGCGGAAGCCCAGCGCCAGCTCAACAACAACAACCGACCAATCAGCTCTGGGTTCTGGGAGACGGAGTGCACCAGCTCCAAGCTGTTCGAGTGCTCCCGCATCAAGGCCCTGGCAGGTCAGAGGTCACACACACAGATTAGAACACACGTCTACTCACATCCATACGGGCAAGCACACATCTGCAATAGATGGTATATTAGTACACATAGTATATGGTGTTGTTTTTAGTCGTGATTCTTTTTAGGTTGTTAATTTTGATTTTGTTAATATTGTTTTAGTGGTAAAGCAGAATTAAACTGGTCCTAAAAATCCTCCTCTCGATGAACACAGAATACAGCTGTTGTATTTTACAGTCTCATTTGTTAACCCCACAAGACAAAGCAGTTAGCACACATTGATTTAATGCTTGTTATATTAACACAACTGTCTCATCTAAAATAAAGCAGCCACATTGTTCTTTGATCAGAGGTAAAGCTCCATCCTCTGTTTCTCTCAGATGAACGAGATGCAGTGCAGAAGAAGACTTTTACCAAGTGGGTTAACTCACATCTGGCCAGAGTGTCCTGTCGTATATCTGACCTCTACAACGACCTGAGAGATGGATACATGCTCACCAGACTGCTGGAGGTGCTCAGTGGAGAGCTGCTGGTGGGGGAAAAAAAAACACACACACACACACAGACAAAATGCCAAATCATAATGGGCCTTGTATTAGTTTATTACAGTTGTACATAAATGATTTGTTTTTCCTGTACTTCACTCAGGAGGGTAAATGTTAGAATTTTCTTGTCATTTAACCAAAAGCCTTTACCTCAAATCCTGTTTTTACTCTGTTCTTGTTTTGTTTTAAGAATAATCCAAGCTAATGGCTGATTTGCATATGGGGATGATATTAATATGTATTATAACGTTATGGGATGTTAGTATTTAAATGTTAAGGGCTTTGATATCAAAAGTAGTAATTGGGCCTCTGTCTCTGTCTCAGCCGAGACCAACTCGAGGACGTATGCGGATCCACTGCCTGGAAAATGTTGACAAAGCGCTGCAGTTCCTTAAAGAGCAGAGGGTTCACTTGGAAAATGTCGGTTCCCACGACATCGTGGATGGAAACCACCGTCTCACTCTGGGCCTTATGTGGACAATTATTCTACGCTTCCAGGTAAACACCATCCAATATACAACACTTCGCTTATATTAAAACAGATGACCTGTTATCACAGCTTGTGATGTGAGTTACCTCTGGCGGAGAAGTGGCCAACGGCTAGAAATTAGTTTTCAGTATTAACATCGAGGGATTGTGATTTACTGTAAGTAACTGTCATAACAAAAAGCAATCAAAATTTCGTTGACTTACGTTCAATGACAATAAAGGAAATCTGAATCTGAATCTGAATCTGAAAAATGAATCCTTAAGAATGGGGAAGACGTGCAGCAAGGGACAGAAAGACACATCATTAAAGCATAGTGCTAACCTAGGTGATAAATGTAGTACTTTGTGTTTCATGTGAATGGCTTCAAAAAATAAGCTTGTTTCACCAGCTAAATAATTTGAATATGAAGCAGCAGAATGAAATTGGTTTTCATTAGCAGTAACTTTTTACAGAGTGAAAGCTGAATCACATGCTGCATTTGATCTGGTGAGTCCAGCGCATCAACAGAACCGACTCCTTAAACCAAAGAACGGTGGTTGGGTTTTTGATTCTTTTCATGTATTGGATTATTCCTGTGAGGGACTGAGGTTCTTACTTCCACATGTTCCCATGCTACATGCCGAAGCCCTGGGATGCTAAAATCAGCAGTCGCTTAATTTAGGATGAGCTGCCAGCGGTTGTGTTTGGGGCGGAGGTTGTCACAGCTGCAGCATCATCAGTGCGCGACAGTGACAGACAGCAGTGTTTGGTGTAGAAAGCCTGAAAGTCACCCAGGGCTCAGTGGCAGTCGCCTTCTAGTCTCTCAGACAAGGTCACACAGGCACACGCACACACACACAGACACACACACACACACACACACTCTGTTTGTCTGTTTCTGTCTGTCTCTCTCTAGTCATACGTACACCGATGTCCTCATATATTGTCACACTCACTCACACACACACGTGCACTGGTTTCCAGGCCTTAGCAGCAGTGATACAGGATCATTTCATGCGATGTAAGTACAGTAGAAGCTCAGGGCTTGTCTTCATCACGCTTCAGTGCTACAGCGCGGCCTCTGCATGAAAGGCTTGTTTAGCATTTTTCAGACCCCTCTGGAACATTCTTGGTGTGCAGCCGCCTGGTGGCTGTCCCCTGGGACTCAGTATTGTCCTGCTTGGCCTAGCTACCTACCACAAAGCACATTTAACAGCACTGCAGGCAGAATTATCTCATGATTTGTTGGGTGACCCTATGATATTAGGTTGTTAGCTCAGTCGACCGTACAAACAGCATTTATAGTTTAGATTTGTACATTTCTCACAGATATGCTGCACAACTTTATGGTGTTGTCAGTTTAGCTGAGCAGCTGTAACTGCAGTGTTAAGTCTGCAGCAGTCTGCACCCCAGAGCCGCCAGTCAATTGCCTCTTCAATTTTGCATGTGTTGAGAAAGGAGTGAAGGGGACTGATGTTCAAGTGTGTGTACAATGCTCACCATGGACGGTATATTAAGATGGACAATATGTCTCCACTTCCTCCCAGTGGACAAAAATTCATTTGATATGATATGTTTGGAGCCAGAATCTGCATCGTAGTGATGGTGTGGAGCCATGGTAACGAAGAATATGTTTGAAACTAACTAGTACATACATAACTTAAGTATTTTATCAAGTATATCATATATTTACATTTATTTTAAGTAATGTGAACATATAATAATAATAACTTTATTTGTATAGCACTTTTCCTAAACAAGGTTACAAAGTGCTTCACAAAATACATGGCAAAAAAATTAATAAAAGGCAATTTTAAGTGCAAAATCATGAACATTTTAAGACAATTATAACAAATATTTAATACAAGTATGGAGAGCAGCTCTTTGGCCACTGTGGAGAGAGAAAACTCAATTACTGGAAGAAACTTCTTGAACCAGACTCAATGCCCAGTTGGATGGAAAAGAGGGGAGGGGGGGGGGCAGTAACAGTTGTATAACCTTCATTATAATCGTACCTCAGATAAGTGGAAGAAAATGGAAATGATTACCCATTAGCCCATTTTGTGATGACACTATTATAACTATGATACTAACAGAGTCTGAGGTCTGAGAAGAATTTAGGACCTTGACCTGCCATGTAAAGTGCCTTGAGATAATGTATATGGATAATTACAATTTGGTGGTATACAAATAAAATTGAATTGAGGTTTGATCCCAAATCCTAAGATCTGTTTATAGGGTCAGTAACTGCCCCGTTCCCTCCGTCCTCTGGGGTGAAAGAGAGAGTTTGCTTTGCCCAGTCAGCAGGTATAGGACCCAACCACTGCAGTAACTGAAACTGCACACACGCAGAAAGAGGGAGAGAGAGAAAGATAGGGAAAGAGAGGGGGAAGAGGACAGAGGAGTGACAGGCAAAGGAAAAGGTAAATCCAAATGCGTTTCCAGAACCGTACACAAATAATAACAGAATGTTATTATTTGCAGGAACTTCAATTATAGTCTCTGGTTGGCTTGGGGTCCTATTGTTGTGTACGTGTGTGTGTGTGTGTGTGTGGTTGTGGTTGTGGGGGGTGTAATATATGGATGTGCTTTCACACAGATCATTGCTTTTTACAGTGAACCTGAATCAAGACACATTGGTCAATGTTAATGTCAAATTTACAAGATACTGTATCAAGATTCAAATCTATGATATTAATGCTAATACACTCAGTATTTTCAGATTTGCATTCAAGCATCTAGCATTGAATTATTTCAACTTTCTCCATATTCAGATATTTTCAGCTGTTGTTTCTCTGTTTATTCATAAATTATATCTCTGCTGCTGAAACAACATCTTGTGCCAGTTTCTTTCTCTCTCTCTCTCTCTCTCTCACACAAACACAGTTCAGTTATAGTGTGTGTGTGTGTGTGTGTGTGTGTGTGTGTGTGTGTGTGCGTGCGTGCGTGCGTGTGTGTGTGTGTGTACGTGCAATGTTGTTTCTAACAACATGGGTAGCAGCTGATTCGTGGGTGTCAGTTCCCCAATTACCTTGGATCATGTCACTGTGATGTGATTGGCTGAATAGCTGTCACTTCTCATCAGGCGCTCTAATGGCTCTGCACTTCTACACACTGAAATCCTCAGCTCTCATTGCTGTCGTCTGTTTTTCAGGAAAAATAAGTCACGGTTTCATGAAGCCATTATCATGATTTGAATGGCGGCTGTGAATGGATGTTCTGAGTCTTTATGGGTCAACACTTAATAACTGATCTAATCACTGCTTATGACCCATTGCTGTATAATAATTACAAATCATTTGATAAGTCAACCACAGGTAGCTAATTAGTCAGCTAACTTTCAGTGACTGGCTCAAAAAAACTCAATATTTGACCCTGTAGTGAGAAGTTAACTGAAATTGTAAATACTCAACAGTCACTGACAAGTGTATGAGATATACGGTATTGCATTCTGGGATTTTTAGCAGTTGTATGTGAACACAAATTTGAAAGGTTTGTGTTGCCCAGTTTTTAGCTAACCTATATATCGGTCAGGCTCTAGTAAATACCTGTACTGCGAATGTGTGTATTAAAATGGTGTAGGGACGGGAGGTGTTGGGTCTGTGTCACATTGTCTCTCTCATCAATGCTAAACTGTTGCTGTTGTGTTTCTTTTCAGATCCAGGTGATCAAAATAGAAACAGAGGACAACAGAGAAACTCGCTCTGCCAAGGACGCTCTGCTGCTCTGGTGCCAGATGAAGACTGCAGGGTGAGCACTGTGATTGTATATCAATGTATATAGAGGAAAATGTAATGTTCCACGATGAATTAAGTTGATTTGTTAGTGTTGGGTTTATGGTTCTCCTTGGTTCATATTTAATAAAGCTTCTCTCTGGTCCAGGTACCCTGAGGTCAACATCCAGAACTTCACCACCTGCTGGAGAGACGGCCTCGCCTTCAATGCCCTCATTCACAGACACAGGTGATAATTACTTACAACACATTACTCATGATTATAATTTGAAGCTGCAACTGCGGATGATTCAAAACACAGACGCACATGCGACGACTGTGTAATATTCACAAGTACTCAGCCGTCACTGTTATTACGTATTTATATGTTCTTATGTCTTGTGCTGAGAATTCTTAATTTACTTGTATATATTTTTTATTGAATACACATTTTGTCCTATTTTGTGTATTTATTTACTATTTAGCTGCTTTTTCTTTACTATGGGGCTTCTCTGCAGGTTTTTCCACATGATCATAACCAACTGATGTCACAATAATGAGAATGTTGTCCTGGATTTTTATTTAAATTTACATTTACATTTAGGGCATTTAGCAGACGCTTTTGTCCAAAGCGACTTACAATAAGTTGTTTTTTATGTCAGAGAAACAGCCGCAACACACAGAACATTCATGGTGGTTTAATTTAAATTTGATTTTAGTTTGTTACCAAACCAACCAAAGAAATTTCAACAATGATATAAAAATAAGATAAAGAAACACAGAATGCCCAAAATTGGAGAAATAAAGTGACCCAGCTTGCGGTGGGAGGGGAGGTGAGTGAAAAACCCCAAAACATAGTATATCATGGGCAGTTATAATGATACCAATATACAACCACCAAAAAGGTACAAGTTTGACCATTTTCATAAAATAATGTCTTATGCAAACTGGGTGATCATCAAAACTCACATGTTTATTTGCAGGGAAAGATTTAGAGTGGAACAGGTTTGACTATCAGAGTCATAAAAACATGATACATTTGGATCATTTTGCTCCCTCCAGACCCGACCTGATAGAGTTCCACAAGCTGACGCGCTCCAATGCAACTCATAACCTCCAGCAAGCCTTCAACATCGCAGAGCAGAACCTGGGCCTCACCAAACTCCTGGACCCTGAGGGTGAGAATGTTCAACTGATTTTGGGTCAATTTCAGTTCAAAGCACATTAAACCTAAAGTTAAGCCAATGTTTAACACTCTGCTTCCTGTCTCGTTCCTCTGGTACAGATGTAAACACAGAGAACCCAGATGAAAAGTCTATCATCACCTATGTGGTTTCCTACTACCACTACTTTTCCAAGATGAAGGCTCTTATTGTGGAGGGCAAGAGGGTTGGCAAGGTAATAATCTGTGTAAATCCACATGAGGCTAACAAAGCAGTGGAGTAGCCTTTACTTTGAAAGTTAAAAGACCTGCAGTGTCATCAAGCTGAAACACAGCAATAATGAATCACCTTCTTCAGGTACTCGAGAACTGTGTCGAAGCGGAGAAAATCATCAACCGCTATGAAGCTCTGGCATCAGACCTGCTGGACTGGATCGAAAAGACCATCGCTATCATCAGCAACCAGAAGTTTGCCAACTCACTGACCGGAGTTCAGCAGCAGCTTCAGGCCTTCACAACCTACTGCACCATCGAGAAGCCCATCAAGTATGATCTTTTTGCTTCTGTACGATAAGAGACAAGATCCAAGCGAATTTATATTCTTGTGTTGATGCCTTTCATAAACCAATGTTCTGCACGTGTTTTTAATTCAAGGTAAATCTTTCATATTAAGGGGTTTTGTACTTGTTTTCTCATTGAAGCAGTGATAAACACCCCAAGGTACAAAAAGTAAACTCCCCCAGAGTGATGACAGCAGGTTAACAGAGTGAACAAAGAAGTCGGCCTTTACCCAGAGTCCTCAGACCTCCCTGTCAGCAAGCGTTCATGCTGCGTTGTGTCCTTGATCAAGACGCTGAATCCCTGAATAACTTTGTGGATGCAGCTTGTTTCTTTGACCTGGTGTTTTTTTAGCTTTTCCTATAAAAAAAAAAGGAATGGAAAGGTCGTAACATAATATTCTAAAATGTTTTTTGTTTCTCGCTCAGGTTTCAGGAGAAGGGAAATCTCGAGGTTCTTCTTTTCACCATCCAAAGCAAACTCAGAGCCAACAACCAGAAACCCTATGTGCCTCATGACGGGAAGCTGATCTCAGACATCAACAAGGTCAAACGTCCATTTCTATTTTGTCTGGAGTATTTTTCGTTTCAATCGCTGATTCATTTCGAGGTCAGATCACTCTGCAGTAGCTGAGAGAAAACCTCTTTTTCATCGCATTGCCGCCAACAAAAGTGTGTTTTGTCATTTCCTGTCCAGGCCTGGGAGAGGCTGGAGAAGGCGGAGCATGAGAGGGGTGTGGCCCTGCGCAAGGAGCTGATTCGTCAGGAGAAGCTGGAGTTGCTGGCTCAGCGCTTCGACCACAAAACCACCATGAGACAAGCCTGGCTCAATGAAAACCAGAGACTTGTATCACAGGTAAGGATCTGAGGACTGAACCAGAATTCAATAATCTTAACCATCCCTCTGCCCCACTTGCCCGTCTTGCCATCCTTTTCCTCCGCTCTCCTTCCATTTTCTCTTCTTCTTTGTCTCCTCCTTCAGGACAATTTCGGCTACGACCTGCCAGCAGTCGAGGCGGCAATGAAGAAACATGAAGCCATAGAAGCGGACATTGCCTCATATGAAGAGCGAATCGGAGTGGTGGTGGAACTTGCAGCAGAGATGGAGACGGAAGGATACTATGACATCCGACGTATCTTGGCTCGTAAGGAGAACATCCTGGGGCAGTGGGCTCTGCTGAAGGAGCTGGTGGCAGGGAGGAGGACCCGGCTGGAGAAGAACCTGGCCCTGCAGAAGACTTTTCAGGACATGGTTTACATGATTGACTGGATGGAGGACACACAGGTATGGAGGGGAATGCAGAGAGAGACAATCATCTTGTACAAGCAGTAGAAACAAATCTGCATAGTTTAAAGAGTGAAAATTGAAAGAGAAGACAAAGCAGAGACATGTGTCCATTAAAAAAATAAAATACAAATTTGTCTTCTTGTCCCTCCGTCCCTTTGCATCCCTCTCAGGTTCAGCTGCTGTCAAAGGACTTTGGGAAACATCTCCTGGAGGTGGATGACCTGCTGCAGAAACACAGCCTGCAGGAGGCAGACATCGCTGTGCAGGCTGAGAGGGTGGAGACGCTCAACACAGCTGCGCTCAAATTTACCACGATAGAGGGTACACACACACACACACACACACACACACACACACACACACACACACACACTCACAGCTATATCACTTTTAAACAAATTATTTTGATCTGTCTGTAGATACGTATATACACTGAGATGATGCAGCAATGAATGTGAAAATGATCAGTTTTGAATTCCAAGATTAGGCCAACACTTATTAGTATTAAACATTGACAAGAGCATCAGACCATGACAATAGAGCTTCAGGTTTTAGTATTCAACCTTTGTGCAGCGTATAATGATCGCTAATGATCACCATGACTCAATTTTTGAAAACCTAATATGAGTAGGTTGATCAGTTTAATAAACTAAATAATAAAGTGTATGTTTTTAATGAACATTAACCTAATGTTGTGGCCCCTCAGGTTACCAACCGTGCGACCCTCAGGTGATCTGTAACCGTGTCAACCACGTGTCTTCTTGTCTGGAGGAGCTGAAACAACTGGCAGTGAAAAGACATGCTGAGCTCGAGGAGTCGAGACAGCTCTGGGCCTTTTTTCAGGTGAGACGCCTTGAAAGGTTGTGTTGAATATTCCTCTTCAGTCGAGGGGTCCTTGTGCTGGTGTGTTTGTTGGATACTTCAAACAGTGGAAACATTTCTTAAACTTCATGAAACCGACAACTGTGTGGAGACAGGGTTCTTCTCTCAATCTTTTATTTGAAGATTTTTATTCTTTCACTTTTCATTTAAAACCAAGTAACTCTTTGAATGTCAAGAGAGACCACGTGCCATTATCCTTATGTTTAAATAATTATCACATTTCCCGCATCTCTATGGCCACTGACTCATATGATTTTTAAATTTTTTTAAATCATTTTTTTTCTTGACGCCTGTATGTTTTTTGTGTCCAAACTTAATGAGTATGTGCGTGTTCTCCTGTAGGAGCTGGAGGAGTCGGAGGCCTGGATCAGAGAGAAAAGCTCCATCCTGGGAGCGCAGGGCTACGGGAAGGACCTGAGCAGTGTGCTGAGGTTACTACAAAAGCACAAGACTCTGGCTGGAGAACTGCTGGCTCACCGGACGCTGCTGCAGGTGTGTGTATGTGTGTGTGTATCTGCTTGTGAGTGATTCAGCACTTGGAATATCTGCAGTACCTGGAGTTTCTGTTCCGAGCTTCATGTACGTCAGTAAAAAGATTCATTTGCAGTTGTGGTTAGATGTTAGGTGCAGTACCTCCTAAAAGATGAGTCATAGGACTCAGTGTATTTTAATGCATATGTTTTCTCAGCTCTTCAAAGTTGACCACTACAACAGTTTTCAGACTATGATAATGATTTGGTTTCAAACCCTCTTTTCTGCAAATAGAGGAAGCACAGCACTAAACTTGAAATACTGGCTACTGTTCTACTTTAATGTTCCCAGTGTGAAATAATTTACAGCAACGTGTTACCCCTCTATCCTCCCCCACTCCTCCAGAACACCATGAAGAGAGGGAAGCAGATCCTGAGCGAGAAGAGCTTTGGCACCGCGGGGATCCAGGAGCGCATTATGGAGGTGAAGGAAGAATGGAAGCAGCTGGAGGACCAGGCAGCGCAGCGTCTTGGACACCTGCAGGAGGCACTCAACTTTTTCCAGTTTTCCACGGAGACAGACGACTTGGTGGTTTGGCTGCAGGACGCTTACCGCCTGGTCTCCAGCGAAGACTTTGGACATGACGAGTACTCAACTCAGTCACTGCTGAAGAAACATAGAGGGGTCAGCGAGGCTGTTGACAAACATCGTCTGCATGTGGTGACGCTGCGCAAACACATGATGGTGCTGCCTCTGCGGTACCGTGATCAGGAGGTGGGTGAAGGGTCAAAGATGTATTTTTTGTTTTTTTCCCCATTTTTTAATTTACTTGTTATTGTAATTGCGCCTCTTTTTTCTCCTCTGTGCAGGAGGTGCAGGTTCGTATGGGCGAGGTGGAGCAGCTGTACACTGAGGTGGCTGAGGTTGCCGTGCTCAGACAGCAGTGGCTTCATGACGCCCTTGCTGTCTATCACATGTTCAGTGAGGTCAACGCCTGCGAGCTGTGGATTGATGAGAAGGAGCAGTGGCTGGATAAGATGGAGATCCCTGAGAGGCTGGAGGACGTGGAGGTGGTGGCACACAGGTGAGGAACCACTCATATATTTCGAATTATTGTTATCGAGGCTGAGGAGTGACGAGCTCTGACTGACTCTCTGCATCAATGCCCTTGGTTGTAGGTTTGAGAGTCTGGACCAGGAGATGAACAGCCTGATGGGAAGGATCCTAGATGTCAATCAGATAGTTCAGCAGCTCCTGGATGGAGGTCATCCATCTTCTACAGAGGTCAGAGGTTGTCAGGACCATCTCAACTCCAGGTACGGATATAAAACTGCATTACTCCCAGCATTTACTACTACTTTTAGTACGACCAGTGACATGACAACTACAGAAGCTATACAAAACATCCCAGCGCTGAGCAAGAAGTGCTCTCGCTACCGCTAATAAAAGATCACAGATTACAATTACTACATCTCTACTGATAGTACTCCTCCTGAGCCAGTGTGTCTGAAAACAAATGAGCCTTTTGGGGCAATAGACACCATAATTTGGGTGGAGGCAGCAGATATTCAGGCCAAGACTCCATCTTTTGTTCACTGTAGACTGTTTGCAATCCAACTAGTTTCTTTTATCACGTGAGTCTAGCGTTTCTCCACACCAAACATACAATCATACTTTACGTAGGGGTTTTGAATACAGACAACATTGTTGGCTAATTAACAGCCAACTTCATATGAATGCAGATACATTTTATAAAGGTCTCTGTGTTCCGCCTCTTTTGCTCTTCCATACCCAAAATCTTTGTCCCTCCTCTGCAGAGTCATCACATTCACATGCAGAATCTGTCTGTAGAGATTACCCAGAGGCGACCAAGACCAATTCATTTGTATCAAAGTTTTAAACCTAATACTACTATACTGTGGATGTGTCTTTCTGTACTGGTCCTGTGTAGTGATCAGCTTTTTGAATCAATGTGAAGAAAAACCCTTAATCTCAGTTATGGTCCAGTAAAGAGTTACTGCTGCTGTCACCTAAACAGTCAAGAGGATGTGCTGAAGTTATTTTCTAGCTCCTTGGTGGTAATTGGACTTTTTTAACTGTCTTCTCACAAACACCTCAGGCCCTTTCAGTTGATTCAGTCTTGTAGAAAGATGCTGGACTTTAACGTCCCTTCTGGTCTTCGATCAGTGCCTGAGATGTAAATGTAAAATGGCAGCAGACTCAGTATCTCTTCTGTGCATCTGCTGCACCAGTCTCTCGTTATCTGGCTCCTTCTCTGTCTGGCATGTTAATCTATGGTAGCATCCGGCCAAGACCACCCTGTGAAAGGACCTGGCTTTTTTATCCATCTCGGTCATATTCACTGGACACTGGTGCGTCTGGCAGCAGTGTCCATGACGGCCGGGTGTCCATGAATCTCATGACCTTGGCAAGTGGAGTTGGTCTCAGGGCGACCATCTGTGCTGGCTGCCTTAGTCAAGATAGAGAGCAGTTGTCCCAAAAAATAAAAACAAACATTCAAAATAATCTCTGGTATTCATGATTCAGTTTTACTAAATAATATCAATTGAATGTAAATACATAAATGCATTGTACAGTGAGTTTAGTCACCTTGACATCCTTGTACAAATACATACACAGATTATAGGTCATATTTGCCCACGTACAGCAGCGACTGCCCTCATTCACACCTCAGCACCAGTGCTGATCTGATCTATGAGACGACTCGTGCAGCTCAGTGTCACCGAGCTGTTTTCCATCCTGCCTGCTGAGCGCTCTGTCTGCCTCTCAGTGACGCTGCCATTACCTCATTACAGTCACAAGGGTCTCTGTGTGTGTGCATCAGTGTGTGTATGTGTGTGTGTGTGTGTGTGTGTGGAGACCTGCTGGTCTGGAGCAGAATCAGGAGAGCATATTGTGTGACGATATGGTGAGCAGACGAGGCCTGGGCTGGAACCACAGCTGAGCAGAGAACAAACAGAATCAACTATCTCAGATAAACAGTAACGGTTCATAGCAAGTCGTCATTACAGTGGGTTTAACATGTATTTTAAATATGATGCAGCTCCTCTCTTGTCAAAGTCAAAATAATTGACTGAGATTTGTGTTTCTTAAGCAATAGACTCAGAGTTACAAGAGAGTGGTTGAATGTTTTCAGCTGTTTTTAGCTGTAATATCTTTAACTCCTGACACATCTGCTGCATTTCAATTTATGCTTGAACAAATAAATATAAGCCCCACAGTTTATACTTATTCAAAACTGATTGTATGATCCTTAAACACACTGTGATGCTTAAAGATATAATATGCAACAATTCTTCATGAAAATGGCTAAAACACCTGAATCTATATATTTAGCTGACTTGTGTACGTGCATTATCCAACACCGTTCAAACCCAGAGAAATTTAAATCAAGGCAGAGGACCTTTTATTTTCTTTGCCTTTCAATCACATCATATCCTCTTAACGCGAGGCTCTGTTATAATTTCCGAGGCACACGCTGTTTGCATCGGTCACTCATTATAGATCACAATTATTCATTGTTTAATTATTCATTCATAAAACTTAAATACATGACCTTATCTGTGCACATATAATTTTTGACTGAGTTGCGTTGAGTAGATTTTCATTGGCAATCCCACCTTGCTTCACTAAGTCACCAAACTGGGTCTTTGTTATTGTTTTGATTAAGAGAACACTGGCGGTCGAGGTTACATAATGTGCGTTTAGTACTGCAAATGAGAGTGAATGATCTCGTGTCTTTCTTCCCTCTTGAATTTTAGGTGGAACAGCATTGTGGAGCTGGTTGAGCAGAAGAAGGATCAGCTGGACTCCATGTTGCGTCTGCAGAACTACTTGCTGGAGTGTGCAGAGATCAAGTCTCAGATCCAGGACAAGAGAAAAGCCATCGACTCCACCCAGTACGTGGGCAGTGACCTGGGAGGAGTCCTGGCACTGCAGAGACGCCTCTCCACCATGGAGGGAGCCCTGTCTGTCCTGGAGCCTAAACTACTGCATCTGCAGGTTTGGAAATATAGATATTGACTGTATAAACATTAAGAATAAACTCTCAAATTACTGTGTGAATAAAAATCTGTTTTGATCAAAGGTAGCATTTTGGCAATTCCAGGTTCTTTGGCTTGTTGGCTGTAGTTGTCGTTGATGTAAGCTACCAAAGTCACTTTTGCTGCTACAGAAATTGCATCAGCAAATATAAAAGGATTCATGAATTGGTTATGTTGTCATGCATTTATTCCGATAAAGAGTGATTCTACTGCTGGAGATACACTTGCTTTTAACCATGCAAACACGTCATGTCCGCCTCGTGCATCCTTTTGGTGCATTGATTGCATTGAACGCGACATGTCTGCAAGATTCTGTAGTACATGAAAGTTCTATATGGTCTGAGTTCTGTCATGTTCCCACAAGTGGAATGTTCCAGTAAAATGAGTATCACACAGCAAGTATTTGAACAGTTACGCTCACCCCACATCTGGTTGCTAGACAGCAAGTATATCTCCAGCCGGGGAAACTACAGAAGATATAAACAGCAGAATAAAAGGCTGCACTCACGTTAATGCTGTCTGTGTTTGCCGACGCAGGAGGAGGCGGAGCATCTGGCCTCTGCTCACTCTGGTCGGACCATGGATATTCTCGTGCCCTTCGATGGCATCAGCCTTGAGTGGGAGGAGCTGAAACGCACCCTGCAGGGATGCGAGGACTCACTGTTGGTGGCTGGCAGGCTGCAAAGCTTCATACAGGTACACAGGGATAGTTCATGCATAAGGAAAATTCTATTTCTCTGATCAGCCCTTGCTGATAATCATTAGGAACAGAATTGTACCTGACATTAACAATAAAGCCACATCACTCCATGTAAAAACACAATGCTGCTTTGACTTATTATTGTTACAAGGCAAAATAAACCGTGCTACAGAGCAACATAAACTGTACCTATTGCTTGTTACATTGAAACATGTTTTTTGATATCATATCATATATATTTAAAGGGATATTTTTATCATTTTCACATAAAACAAGGAAATTGTCATTGTGCAAGAGAGAACACGTTATTCCAAACAAAATCCTTTCAAACTGATGTATGGTTATAATATGCTAAAGAGGCTTTAAGTGATCTTTCATCAACACAATTGTCTCGGTGCACAGGCGTATGCAGTGTAACAGTAGAATGGATGAAATGTAAATGGTGTTGCTCTCTCCGTGCTCTCAGGACCTGGACTCGTTCCTCACCTGGTTGGTCCAGACACAGACAGCTGCTGCCTCAGACCAGCTGCCCAACGACCTGGAGGAGGCAGAGAGACTCATCAACAAACACGCTGCCCTGAAGGAGGAGATAGGACGGTGGGTGACCCAATTTTCCTGAAAGATCCTTCAAACTCATCAGATCATGAGAACATTATGAATCAGGACTTTCTCTGTGCAGATATGAAGAGGACTACGAGCGCCTGCAGGCCATGAACGAGCTGCTGGAGTCCGAGGAGGCCCCTCTCCCTCAGGCCGCTCTGCAGCAGTGGCTCCAGAAGCTCGATGTCGGCTGGAATAAACTGCTGGAGATGTGGGAGAGCAGGAGAGAAGTTCTGGTCCAGGCTCATATCTTCCATCTGTTCCTGAGAGACGTTAAACAGGCTGAGTCCTTCCTCAATAACCAGGTGAGATGAGGAAAGAGAAATGGAGGACACCATTTCAAACAGACGTAGTTCATTGCGTACATAAAAGCAGCATAAATGAGTCTTAAAAACTTTAAAAAATCACGTTTTCAATGGCTCGCCCTGGAATCTGGTGCCGATATTCATGTTCCCCAGTGGATGAAGCTTAATGACTGCGTTTATTTAACATGTCAAAGCTTTTACAGTGTAAAATAAGTCCACATGAAAAAGCAGCATCCTTGATCCACTGTTCTCAACGACTTCTCGTCTTTTGTATGCCAGGGTTTCAAATTATAATGTACTCACATGTCAAACTGAAGAAAACTTGAGGGTCAAATAAAAAGAAAGAACAGACTCACAAGAGAGGGTGCGTGTGTCTGCAGAGCACCTCTGTATTTTCTGATGTTGGAGCAGGTGCAGTGGTTTCTAGAAACTTTAGATCTACATCATGTTGAAGTGTCAGAGGATGAGCTGTGTGTGTGTGTGTGTGTGTGTGTGTGTTAGCAATATACAGTATGATGGTATTTGCATGTAGGTCTGAGTAAATTACACATCTTCCCTATTGGGTTAATATCTGTTCATGAGTCATTGGTTAATAAACAAGTGTCATACTCTTAATTTGAACTGTTTAAATAATGTAGTTGCATCATGAATAAGGTAAGATTATCTTCTCTTTAACAGAATACTAGTTTAACAAAATTACAAAACATTTAGTGGGATGAATTAGTAATAAAAACGAAGTGTAGTGTTTTATGTTATGAATCTGTGTTAGGAGCATCAATCAACTACTGACGATGTGTAAATCTACTTTAAAAGGTAATTAAAGTTTTAAATAGATTTACACATTGTGAGTAGTTTTGACTGAATGATGATTTATTTCTTAAGAAAATAATCATAATTTTGTTAAATATTTGTGTGTAAATATGATCTAAGGACGTTAACATATCTACAGACTTGCCTGAGTCATGTGGTTCAGAAGAACAGTGAGTACCACATGCACAGAGGTTTGTTTTTCTAACCTGAAATGTCACAGGCAGAGCTGTCCCTGACCTGTGTGTTAACGTGTGTGTGTGGCCTGCAGAATGTGTCCTAACCAGGGACCACCTCTCCTTATAATTGCCGTGGTGGGGGAGGAGGGGCTGTTTATTCAGGGAGCAGCATTTCTTCTTCAATAAGTATCAACGATGTTTGAAGCCATAGACCTTTTTCTGCCTCTCCCTGTTGTTTCCGCCCTGATCTCATTTGCTTTCCTCTGTTTCCAGATGATAAATTAAAAACAAATGTTCAATTTTCACATGAATAGTAAAATATAAAAGGATTCCTCATAACGAAGGCTGAGTAACGATTGATGTCGTTATTGATTTATTCAGCTTATTTCATGTTGAATCAACTGATAAATTGAATAATGATTTAGTGACAATGACTATAAATGTGAAAAAAAACCATCATAATAACAGTTGATGTCTTCAAAGGCCGAAACATAAAGATATTCCATTCACTGACAGAGAACAAAGAAAAGCAGTGAATCTTCACATTTGACAGACTGGAACAAGTGAAAAATATCATCAGTATCTTTTCCTTTGATTGTCTCATCAATAATGTTGTAACCACAGACTGTAAATAAAAATGGATGTCTTCTCCCACTATCCAGAAATAAAGCCAAAAAATTCGAATTTTAGTTAGAATAATAATAGAAAACTAATTCAAACCAAACCTCTCAGAAACATGAACTCTTGAACAATCATCAGTGTGATACTACCTAAAATGACTCTTTAGTTTGGTCCATGTCCCATCTGCTAACATGGAGGAGGCAGGGTTTCTGACCTATACTGCAGCCAGCCACCAGGGCGTGATAGAGGTCATCATCTCGTCCCTATTTATTTATGGTCCATGGTTGTAACCAATAAAGTTGGTTGTTGGAGAACTAACAATGTAAAAGAAGAATCTCATTGTGATATTTTTCTGTGTAATGTGGATCTTCACATTTTTCTTCGTTGCACACCTGACATCACCTCACTTCGCCTGTCTTCCAGGAATCGGCCCTCGCTCACGTTGAGCTGCCCACCACAGTGGAGACGGTTGAAGCCGCCATAAAGAAACACAAGGACTTCACCACCACCATGGAGCTGAACCTGCACAGGATCAAAGCTGTCATCGAGGCCGGCGAGAGTCTAATCAGCCAGAGCAACATCTACTCTGAACGCATCAGGGAACGCATTGACACCCTCGCCAACAGGTACTGATAAACAAGATGAGTTAAAAATAAAAAGGAATTGGACTCAATCTGACAGTGTTTGTATTATTACGTAATGTTATACCAGTTTCACTTTAAGTCTTTTCAAAGCTCCAATCATATTGAGGATTCCGTTTCTCTCTTGGTTTGTACGTTTTTATTGATAAGAACATGTGTGAAGTGTGAGAATATGGCATGTAGAAATAAAACCAGATTACAGGCCCGTAGCTCACACGGTCCTCCTCGCTGTGTGTTGTGCACATTTTAAAGCATCTGAGCAGCTGCTTAAACACAATACAACAACAATGAAAGATTAGTAGCTCTACAATCTGAAGAAAAGAGAATTGAAAAGTGTAACTGAAACAGAAACACAGAAAAAGAACTGACACCTGACCATGAAATCTGTGTGATGGTTGTGTGGGTCTGCATTTGTGTGTGTGTGTGTGAGAGAGAGAGTGAAGTGGGGGTTGGGCTTTTTTCTGTGTTCAACAATAGGTAACCATATGGTTTTTGAATTTAATTTACATCAATTAACTCGGGGGACGTTAATTATTCTCCCATGGACATAAATAAATGTCACAAAACTGCCACAATGTGATTTACTGTATTGTGGTTGTTTAATAGATAACTTCACAATCATTACATCAATCAATGCTCTTTTTAATAGACACGTTTTCTCTGATAAATAAGTATGTTGAATTGAATTCTCTGTTATCTACAAATATCAATATTCTATCTGAATATTTCCAGGCCAGACATTGAAATAAATACAAAATAGAATGGCCAAACAGCCCCTTAAATATGCATATAAAGCAGTCCCCTAAACATGATTCTTTTTCAAGTTCCATGAAACAATCTCTGAGAAAACCTTTTGGAAAAAAGTTTGTTGAAGTTTGTCAGGTGGTGGAAAAGAAAGAAGACAAACAAAGATAGAAACACACACACATCTAAATGTGCTTTAAATGTGTTACATGTTTAGTTATTGAGGAGTCTGTCCTTCACTCTTTCAGGGGAAACCAGAACAGAGAGCTGGCTCAGCGGTGGCTGGAAAAACTGAACGACCAGTGGGAACTTCAGAGGTTTCTCCAGGACTGTCATGAGGTAGGAGACCAGACCGGTTTCACACACAGGACGACCTCACGAGGAAGTGAATAAAGCCAGTTTAAAAGCATTTTCTTAGGGAAAATAAAGAAAAATGGTTGTGATATTGTTTGTTTTTACGGGAGCTGACTTCCTGTGTTCTCTAGTGGCAACATCAGATAGTTTTTCATTATTTAGGACTCCGTTAATTCATAATGATTGTTTTAGGATCAACCAATGTTCAATTTTGCCAGAGCAGGAGCAGCTTTTTTAAAGTTCTGTAATGTGTGTTTTAGAAGTTTGAATATATATCGCCTCATCACAGCAGCCGGTTGGTGTCCAGATGTGTAAATGTGTAAATCAGCAGTCATGATAATTTCAATGTGGATGTAAATATTTCCTTAAATGTTGTTTACGCTGCTTAACGTTGTCAGTGTTATAGTCACACATTGGGAAAGTTTCTTTTCTTGTCATTCAGTAGTTAGATAATGTTCTATATCGACCTCAACCATCTTTTTTAAAACCATGAACATAAGATTGGAGGGTGATATATTATATAGACTCATTGATTTCATATCATATCATTATGTATATTCTCTGCCCGGCTTGATTAGCAGGATTTTCTGTCTCAGTATTTTCAGGATAACCACTTTAATCCTTTGTTGTTGTAAGCTATCATTTACATGGTCCGCACCCTCGTGCGTGTCTAGTTGTGTTGCACACAACTCACCTCTCCTGCCTCCTGCAGTTTCTGCTCTTTCACCCTGCAGAGTCACAGACTCCTTTCTGGGCCAAAACCTTGTTTAGTTTCAGCAACTTTCTCTCGTTGGCTCTGCTGAATAATTCAGCAGAGCAGCACCTCATTACTAATTCAGAGGAGGAAGAGTGTATCTAACTGTACATGTGTGTGTGTGTGTGTGTGTGTGTGTGTGAACCTGAACTCTCAGCTGGCAGGGTGTGTTCTTCTCTTCAGTCAACCCTTCATCCTTGTGTTTCACTGCTGCTCCATCTCCACTTTACACTGACGTTCACAGTAATGTTTGATAGTGATAACATCTTAGAGTTTGTTTTTGTTCTTTAAAGTTAAAGTTTTTATTTCAGCAAACAAACACTGCTTCTCCCAGAGACTCATATCAGCCGATTTTACTGATATATCTGCCTCTGGTTGTAACAAACGCGGTGCAGAACAGAACATGTTTTAAAAGGTTTTGTGCATTTGATTTTTGATTTTAAACTATTGGGGTATATTTTATTATCAGTCACATGGGTCCTCAGGTCCCTTGGTGATTGGACTTGTAATGCACATGCAGCCTGTCCTGGGAATTTGTGTCTGTGCCTTTCATGAACAACTTTATAAAGAGTCCGAAAACCTCTTATGTAACTTTAGAAGTCCTTCTGTAGCATCTTCCACGTTGTCCTCAGAACAACTCCATCTTCAGGACAATAGGAGACTGAGGAAGTGAACGCAGGTCAAATTAATACTGTTGTTTTTTTAAACCAGACTCACCTGTGGGTGTATTTCAGGAAAAGCAGTTTTATGCTCAAACATCAAAACAGCAGTAACAGTAGCTGTAAGTTTGACCATGCTTCTTCCTCCTACTGTATCTGCAGTGAACTACTGTTTGTGCTGGACTCACCTGTCACTTACACTCAGAAGCTATGTAAATAAACTGTTCTTGGAAATGTTATAGATAAACTAAATTCAATTTAGCCTGTAATGTGTTTCTGTCAACATGCAGGTCACACAAAAACTTATTTTTAGTCTTAGTCCTAAGAAGGACAAAGTGTGTTCCTCAAGTGTTTATTTATATATTTTATTAAAATGTAAAACGTAGTCATCAGTTACTCTTGGAATCCCATCACTGTCTACTCAAAATAGAAAAGAATGAAATTGATAAAAAAAAAACCTACTTGAAAACATCTGGTAAATAATCAGTTTTTATTGTATTGCAAATAATTCGGATTTAATAAAATGTCAGTTGAAGTAACATCATCAGATTTATTCTGTTCCACTCATAGTTCCAAGCACAATGATGTTTGATGATGTTTAATAAAGAAAATATCCTTAATCATTTTTTATGTTGAACTTATAATGGGACACTTTTGGTTTTGCTGTGGATTTTCCAGAGAAGCTTTTTGAGACATCTGTTTGAATTCTGACGACGTGATGATGAAAGCGAGTCTATAAATCCTCCTCTTCCGTTTCTTGTTGTTCTGCTCTATCTACCCCCCCTTCCCCTACCCATTCATCCTCATTCATTCTCTGTTCGCCCCCAAAACACACACACACACACACACACACACACACACACACACACACAGACATGGTCTTCCTCTTTCCTCATTCAATTCATTTACAGTCTCAAGGGGGGCATCAGGCTGTGACCCACCGTGACCTCTGCAGCCGTGTGTGTGTGTGTGTGTGTGTGTGTGTGTCTGTGTGTGTGTGCGTGTGTTACACCGTGTACACTCCTAATGAGTGTGCACACAGTCTTTTTTTTTGGTGCCTGCTCGTAGGACGTGTGAGGTGTGAGCATGTGTGTGATATCCTCTGGAGGAGGTGACAAAGGCGTCGGACTGAAATCCAGCCCAGGAGCAGTAAATCTATCAAACTACAGATGCATCATCCAGGAGAAATCGCTGTCCCTTCTCTCTTCACTATCACACCTCCTCTGTCCAAACCTCTGCTGTGTCTCTCTCTCTCTCTCTCTCTCTCTCTTTTCTCTGCTTTACCACTGCAGCAGCGTCAGGCGAGCTGGAAACAGAGAGTACAGCTGCCTGGGACTGCTGCAGAGAGGAGGAGAGGGATGGTAGAGGGGGGTGGAGTGTGGGAGGCGGAGAATAAAACAAAAGCAGCTGTAGAGGAGTCGTGAGCTTGTCTGTTAGTGGAGCCCGGCGTCTTTTAATCCTTTAGAGCAGCTAAAACTTCAGTTTTTCCCAGTTTCTCAACCTTCACACTCGTCCATCCTCCTCCTGACACAATTTAAAAACCCACCTCCCCCTCAGCATCATTAGCTGTGACCGGTGAGCCTGGAGGCGCTGCTTCCACCCCCTGCCCCCTCCAAAAATGTTTGAAATCCCAGTCTTTTGCTCCTCCCCCTCCTCCACTCCATCTCTCCTCCAACCAGCCCGCTCACTCGCTCGCCTCCTCATGAAGGTGTGGAGCTCCCATGCGTCGGCTCGGCAGCCTGCCATTTTATTGTTTTGGGGGAAGAGGAATTTTTTTTCTCTTCTTCTACGTCTATCAGTCATCCTCATTCTTGCCCTCTCGCTCGTCACTGGTCCGCCCCTGCCCCTCCTCTCTCTCCTGGTGGAGCGTACAGTGAGGAGCGAGGAGGAGAGGGGAGCGCAGCCTCAGTCTGAAGTCTCCAGTCTGTCTCTTCAGCCTCCAGTATTGTTGTTATTTACCCTGTTGGCCGGCGTTTTTCTTTCAGCACACCTTCTGCATCCCTCAGTCGCGTTCAGCTCTCCAGAAGACCCCTCTTTCCTCCTCTCTTTCCTTCTGTCCCTACGCTCGTTCTATCCGTCTCCATCTGGCTCAGTGGCGTGGAGCATCTTTGCATGTGTGTGACGGCAGACGAGCGAGGATGCGGATACCAGCGGCTGCCTGCAGCTGACACAACCCCGTGGGCTGTTCCTGTTAAAAGCTGCCGGTAAACGAGCCATCCGTTGCACAGTTGGTTGAGAGGAGACCGGTTACGACTAAGGGAGGCGCGGGTGGAAATGTTAGATGCAGGTGTGAGGATGTATATGACAGAGAGATGAGGCTGCTGATGCTGACCTGAATATGTTGGTGATGCTGTTAGCGTGCACTGGGTTCTGCTGTGTGTTGGCCTCACACAGACAATCTGTGTGTGCACATTTTACTCTGGAGGTGTGTGTGCGTGTGCGTGCGGATTGTTTACTGTGTGGCAGCATGTTGATGCTGTGATCTCTTGTGCTGTGTGCACATGTGAATTCCTGCCGCCATGCTTGTTGGTACACGTGTGTCTGCCTACATGTGCCTGCTGTGCGTCATTAAATATTCATGTCTGTGTGTTTGACCTTGTATTTCCCACTTTATGTGTCGCTGGTGTTTCTTTTTGCTTCTTCACACAACAGATGCTATTGAAAACATACATGTGTGATTAAAAAATTTTTTTTTAATGAGTGTATAACTAACATACGTTTCTCTTATGAAGTGGCATATAGAGTGTGTGATCGTGTTTGGTGAATCCAAATCTTAAAAAAGAGAAATCTACAACACCAACAGTTATTTGTAGTATTTATACTCATCCACTATTGACATCTCTCTATCTCCCTCTCTCTTTCATTCTATCCCATTCACCCAGCTGGGAGACTGGGTGTGCGAGAAGATGCTGATGGCGAGGGACAGCAGCCGAGACGAGACCCAGAAGCTTCACAAGAAATGGCTGAAGCACCAGGCCTTCATGGCCGAGTTGGCCCAGAATAAAGAATGGCTGGACAAAATTGAGAGGGTGAGTGCTGGTCATCCAAAGGACGGATCATTCCTTTCTCGCTGATACAGTGACTTGATACCTGAGTTTAATATTCTGGTGTCGAGATGTTTTGTGACAACTGGCTGCTTGAAACTGGAGAAAAGATCTCTGTGGAATAATGGTTTTGTATTTTAGAGTTTGTGTTTCTTTTGACATCAGGATAGATGATAATATTGATTTCGACTTATTTTCACGGAGTTTGGCCATTGACCCTCTAAAGAAACGCAACATATTCTAATTTGTGCCATGCAAAGTACACAGTCCATATCGAGCAGAATATATTGATTATATATTTGAACAAGTTCAACTCCTTTTTCATAATATCTTTTCATAATAAATTATTTGTAGTTTATTTTAAATGTTTAAACTTGAATTTAAGGTGACGGAATGGGCCTTAGCAGAAGTATACGCTCTTTTTGATGGTGTATTATAGAAATATAGTGTCCCGTGATGCACAGAGGACATATTTTAACCTCTTGTCTTGTAACCACATCAGTGCCTGAAACTCTCCGGGCAAGAAACCATGTTTGCTGTCAAAGAAAAGCTACAAACCACTTCTTGTTTCTGTTTCCCTTTAGACAGGCATCACTGATGTAAACAGCGTGTGGGCATCAATCAGCACAGCCCTTCATTAATGTCAGATTTATGAAGCCGTTCTGTTAAACACTACAGTGTTAAACTTACCTAAAGCGTAACGAAGCCAGGAGCTAGGACACAAAGTATCAGAGGGGTTTAAAATAGAAAGGGGAGCGCTGCTGTAACCTTCACCACCTCTGCTCTGCGTCCGGATTGAATCTGTTTCATATTGAAGAGATTTAAAGAAGATTTATCAGCGTCTTGTCTAAAAAGCTGTTTTTGTGTGCTGTGTCTCTTTCTTTGGTAGGTGAGAAGCAGTGAAGGCGATAATTGAATGACATTTGCTCGTGTTATGATACTGCAGATGGCCCTAGATGTTATATTGCTCTATATTCTATCAAAAGATTTCTCAATCTCTAAACTTCCCTCTGAGCTTTTCACATGGTTAGTGTTTGTCATGGCTAACTTAATTTGTGTGATGCTACTGCCCAGTTACAGTCTACATGACATTTCTCTTTTTTTAAGTTAAACTCCAGTTTGCTTGTCCGTCTTACCCTGTGTGTACATGTCATTTAGTATTAGCACCGGCATCAACCCATGTCACCAAAAGCTCTCGAATGTCAATGTCTTTCCAAGTTGACGTCCCCTGGCTCCTCGTTTTCATTCTGAGATTTTTGTATTCTTCCTGTTTTGTGTCTGTCATGTGTTACAAACACGCCTACTCACACATTAAGAATTTTTCTTGAAATTTTCCTGCTGTATTCTCACATGGAACTGGACGTTTTACAAGGAGGAAGAGAGAAAAAGTTAGGGCCAGACTTCGGTGCATGTCTGAAAGCAGCTCATGTGATGCCTCTTCAGTGTACTCATGGTGTATAGTAGTGAGTGGCTGACATGTGGAGTCTCATGGACTCATATGTGCTGATGTATAAACTCAAAACTGTGACTGTTTAGTTCTCAGGGTGTAATTCTATGTGATGGGAATGGCAAACAAACCTTGGCTTTCCAACTGTTGTGAGGGAAAATCAAGGAGATACTGGATATTTACTGGAGAGACACTGATGCTACATTTCTTATGATAAACCTCAGCACTTGTGATTCTAAACGAAACATTAAATATGGCTGTACCGAATGCATTTCATTCATACTTTTGCTATCGTGGTGCAAACAGTTGACTGTGATATAACGGCTCAGTCCTCTGCAGTCATACTGGGCAGGGCTGAAACTGAAGTCCCCCGTGGGAGCAGAGTGGGCTGAGCCAAAGCACAACACTGCGTTTTGTTTTTATCTGAATACACACTGTACTTTAAAACAACCCGCAACATCTCTGAGGCCAGAGCCGAAACAACCAGTCAATGAATTGAATGGCTAATTTTCGTGAGAAAGTGTTTTTATGACATTCTAAAATGATGCTGTCTGTAAAACAATCTTAAGGCAGAAAAGTTTAAGCGTGTGTGTTTGTGTGTGTGTGATGATTCCTAGAATGTCCTCAAACACAATATGTACATTTATATTTATATATTACAGTTTATCATCAGAAATAATTATAATACAAAGCAAACACAAATACAACAAAATAAAGAGAACTTAAATTAATAAAATAATAAAGTAAAGGATAATTCAGTGTATAAGAACTGACAGAATTACATTTGCATTTGTTTACATATATTATTGGTATACTTTCTGTGGACATCAAATCGAAACTGGCTTTGTTCGTCTGAATCGTTGCACCTCTTCAAATATCAAATCTGCTCCTGCTCTAAAGTATAAAAGAGTCCATTGTAGTTTTTACGCCCACAAGCTGAAGTATTAGAAGAACATTGAGTGAATTTCTTTGTTGTATTTATTTGGCAGATTGTAAAAAATCATAACAACCTACTCAACACTTGTCAAAACTGACACCAGTCAAACAAAACTGCTCAAAGTATGTTCCTTTTTTGATGGATACGCTCTGTCTGATTTCAACACATATTTCGTTTTGTTTGTGGCATTCAGAAAGATTCATGAATTATTCCCCGGGAAATCTGTGGAAATGTCCCATTAAAGAAAGTGATATTTATCCGGATCACTCTAAAACGGAGTTATTTTTTGGCCCATGTCCCAAACTTCCTCCGAGTTTTGTAGAAATACACGCGGTAGTTTTTGCATAAGGCTGCTGAAAAACAAAGAAACAAAGGTGTGTAGAATGACGAGAGAAGCATGTTTTTACTCACACTCATGTTTACAAAGAAACTTGTGCTTCAACACGTATGTAAACACAGCTCAGTGCACACTAACAAAATGAAAACATGAGTTTCTTCTGCATATACTCATCTGTCCTTTACTTTCAGTACATTGTGATTTCTTTAGAGCTCTTCTAGCTTTTACAATTTGGTTTTAGGGTTCATGATAAAATAGGTTTGGGATTAGAGTCTGGCAGTGAAAGGTTATAATTGTAAGTGCAGAAGTACATCCCATGTGTATGTGTGTGTTTCAAAGTGTATGCTCTTCAGTGGCAGTCTGTAGTCACACCAGGATTCATAGCTGTTGATACAAGGTTTTGCTTCTGAAGTCGTACAGTCACGTTCACCCCACATGGCTGCTCCTTGGTCGTTGCTTAGCAACTTATACGTTTTTTTGCTAGAAAATATTTATAGGATTTGGATTTTTGTATCATGTAAATACTGATCAGAATCTTTAAACGTTGCTGACTGGTGTCCTTTTGCCTGGTGCGGTTGTGTCTCCATGTTTGTTTCCTCTGAGAGTCTTCAGTCTATTTATGTAATTAGGTAAGAGCCGCTGTCTGGCATGAAGGACTATGTGAAGCACGTGGCCTGTTTTTGAGGAAGTGTTATCTGTCCATGATTACATGAGTATCAGTATTACAGTACAGACAAATGAACAGTGCATGGAAAGAATATGCATGAGATTTTTCGAGGACAATGAGTAACTGTCCAAACAAGACACTCTATACATCCAGGTCCATCTGCCCTCTTGATTCTGCTGTCCTCATCAGCAGTATCAGTAGTATCAGTTTTATAAAACTGGGCTTAGACTGCAGGAGGTTTGGGCTGAATGGATTCAGACGTCCCAAATACAGGTGGAGGAATCTGGTCTGGGTTTGTTTTACAGATCCAGTCTCCTGAACTGCCTGAACACTCATTCCTGTCTGATTAATACCACATATGCCTGATAATGGGATTTAAAATCTGAATTATTATGATTATGGTTGTGTCTGTACTTTCACAGCTTATGGTCTGGCCAAGCATCAGCAACCATTCTAACCGTTGGGCTATAATTTCCTATCATGCTACTGATGAGAGATATTTCTCACTGCAAACATACTACTACTACTACTACTTATAATACTGCCACCTGTTGTCATGCTAGGTGGTGAGTTGCTCCATAATTGCTCCTCTGACACACTAACGTTCTATAGTATGTGATGCACCATTATGTTTTAAATCTTGAACTGTGTGCATGTTTGAGATTAGAAAAAGGTTTCTCTGTGTGATGCAAACCAGTTTTAAAAAACATAGTTTTGGATCATAAAACCCAGACAGAGGCCTGAGGAGATGTTTCCGATGACATGAAGAACAATGAAGTGGCATCAAACTGCAGACAGAAGCTCACACGTGGTCTTCCCTCAGATATAAGTCCTGTGATGCCGGACACCCCAGCAGAGGATTATAATGCATCTTGTGCACTGAGTCAGTTTGCAGTGACGTTAAGAAGCAGCTGGAACAACGTGTCTCCTCTTTCCTGTGATTGCAGTGGTTACCAGGCAACAGCTGCCCAATCGCCTCTCTCTTCACCCTGTCTTCCCTCCCCTCTTAGCTCAGCTCATGTGTGAAGGTCATTCCTCATTCCTTCCCTCGTCAGTTCTCTCCCCTCTAACCAGGGGACAGGAAGCGGGCTGAGATTCAACAGGAAGTGATGTAAGATTTCCAAAATAGCAAAAGAGAGCTGCTTTGGAGTATTGAAATTCAGCCCGAACTTGTTAAGGTGGTGTAGTGTAGAGTGCTAAATCTAATAAGCTGAGGTTTGCAGTGTTCTGAATGTGTAATGTAATGTTTAATCAATAACTGCAGTCGCTGCAAGATGTCCTGGGATTCCTCAACAGGCCAGAGTGCCACACAAACAAATCCGAATATATACATTGACCATAGCTCTACTTCAAAACTTAAAGCTTGTGAATGAAGGAATGAACGATCAGATTAAAAAAAACAATCAAAGAAGAGCAAAGATTAATATTGTTGTATTTATGAAGAGGAAACAAACATTTTCAACCAACCCTGGTTTTTCTATATATTTCTAAATAAAGTTACACATCAATGTGGCAGTCGTCTGGTCACCTCATGGAGTTGTGTTGGTTGTACAAACATACAAAGTCATCCAGTAAATGTCTCTAATGTAACTCTGCAGTGATTTAGACCAAATACATAGTGCTGGCTGTTAAAGGGAATTTGCTTCCATTGCAGCAGAGTGCAGGCATTTGATTCCTGTCCCATTCTCTCCTGTTTTGCTTTAATAATTAACTTCATTTACTCTGAATAAGTTGAAACTACAAATCTAGTTTAGAGTTAAGGCCTCAGTTTGGCCTGAACATCGGCTTCCCCTATTTCAGGGGACGGAACATGGACCAAACTAAAAAGTCAAAAGTACGGTTTGTGTCATTTTAGGTGGTTCTTCTCATTCTGATGTTAGTTCAAATGTTGATGTTCCTGATATGTTTGTTTAATTAGTCATTTGATTATAAAAACATGGGATGAAACGTCATCATCAAATCCATACCTATTAAATTTCATTCATTTGTACTACCTCTGCAGAACAGAAGTGTGTGTGTGTGTGTGTACTGTGAGAACATCAATGAGGCACTTTTAAAGTGGTGAACCAATCTGCTGTTGTATTTTTATTCCTTTCAATCATTTCCAGTATTATTTAGATACTTTGACGATGCTCTTCAAACAGTATTTATGCCAGTCAAAGCATAAATGATGAGGAAGACGAGCAGGAGAGAGTCTGGTTGATTTGTTTTCTAATCTAAACCATAGCCGGACAGTCAGTAGTCATTATTTTCGGGTTGTACACCACAGAGACCTCACATCACACCTGTCATCATCTAGTGTCATGCCTTCATCTCTTATCTTTCCACCTTTGTACCTGCTCACTCTGACCTGAATGTGTCTCATAGTGAAACACACAGTCGCTTCACATGTGTTTTATTTTCAGCACAATGGCAACAGAACATTCAGCCTGTTCCACAAAGATGTGAAAGAAATGTCACTGTTGTGTTGTGTAGCAGTGGGGCGACCAAGACACATGTCATGGACGCCTTGGCTGGACCCTTTTTTGTCCCATCACTCCTTGTGGAGATGTACACGTGGACGATCAGATTTTTCACATGCAAAGTAAATATTGACACATTAGCTGCAGAAGCCTGAGAATAACAGACACACTGACCAGCCGAGTGTCAACAGTGACGCTCAGGAGCAGATGTCTGCTGTGATACACAGACAGCAGAATGAGGAGGCTCCATCTTTTACTGTTAGCATCAGTGTCCTGTCAGGAGTTCTTACTCTCATGCTTGGTCTTTATTTTGTTGGGTCATATGTGCTTTTGGCATTTGAATCATCTTGTCACCATCATTTTTAATGTCAAACAATGAACGTGTGGTGTGAGGAAGTTTGCAAAGTGATGCACAACAAGTGTCAGTTTGTAAGAGACTGATCTTCACTGAGCCACTTTAACCTTCAAGGAAGGACACAGACTTCCCTGTTTGGATTTGCAGTAGAATAAATGATTCTGTGTGAGTGTAGCAGCTCTGAGCCTGTGGAAGAAGCTGCTCGAGCCCACGCAGCCCACCTACCCACCCACTCACTGCAGAGGAGGACACACCTCAGCAGCCGGAGAAACACCACACCACTGTGAAAGCTGACGTAACACACCTACACAGGAAATCACAGGACTGAGAGTGGTGAAGTGTAGTGTGGCCTGTTGAACAGCTGCTTATTCATCTGATGTACACATACCATTAGAACTCCTGTCATCTCCAGTTCTCCAAGGAAGAACTGCATTATTTTTGTTAATCTTGCTGGCACAGGAATCTTAGCCTCTTGTGTTTATATTTTACATTTTTACTCTCATTTAAAGGAACAGTGTGTAGAATTTTGTGAAATTGCATGTTGCAGCTGAACACCCCTCACCTCACCCTCTCCTTCCAAAAATGAAAAAGAACCTGTGGTAGCTTCAGTTTTCATAAAAACTCAAAAGGTGTTTAGTTTGTCCAGTCCGGACTAATGTAGAAAACATGGCGGCCTCCGTAGAGAGGACCCGCTCTATGTAAATAGAAAATATTTAAATATAAAGGGCCTTTTCTGGGCTAAAGGAAACTACAATTCATACAATTTAGACGAACTAGTGCATTAAATTTCTACCAATAGTTCCCTTTCACCTGAATCTTACACACTGAACCTTTAAATACAACATTTGACAGAGTCATTTATTCAGCAGATATGTTCACATAAAAATATGTTATATTTTACGATACATTTAG